TCTTTCCCCAAAACTGCCTTCTTTAAGGGCTTCACCTTCCCCAGTTGCCAATGAAAGGGGTCCATGGCTCTGAAAAAGGAGGAAAATAGTGTGGTAATTTTTAAGGGGAAAAAAAAATCACTTCCAGTGAATTCTACTCAGAACATTTGTCCAGTTTTCTAGCCCAAAAAACAATTCCCAGGCAGCTGTGTGAGGTTTTGGTTGATACTGCCTCATAGCTTTCCTTTTAGGTTATATCCAGTGATTTTAAACTTACCTGTTCACTTCAACAAATCCTTCCACAGGTTTGTGGTTAAGCCCACCAACAGGATGGCCACAGGAACATGTTTTCTCCTCCATGGGTAATCCACACTGTTCCCATGGGAAAAATGACAACATTAAACACGTCTTTAAAAAAGAAAATAAAAATTGCTGTGTGTTCCATTAAGCTACTGGAAGAACGGCTGTGTTCAGTAATGCTGAGAAAGAAACAGGCACTGAAGAATGCAGAAATGTTCAGAGTGGCAAACAGGAGGAATGGCGACTGCAGCACATTAGCCTGGAGAGCAGAGCCATACAGTGCAGAAGAAGCTCTTAGGATGACTGTAACACTGCCATATAATTTCTTCTCTAAGTCAACTGGCAGAGGCCTGTGATTAAGATAATGAAAATCATGTTCTAATCCTGCGGGTGTTGCCTTCAAGCACATTATTTTTTATCACAGCTGGTCAAAAAAACCCAACTTTTCTCTCAGAAAATGCTAAATGCAACAGTAATACATTATTTTGAAAGAGTGACTTAATTTTGCCAAAGTTTAACAGGGCATTTTAAATGAGATCAAAACATTGATCATGGGGCAAGTGAATAGGGAGAGCAAACAGGCTAGTTTGCAAACAGTTTGTGGGGAGCAGGAGGGTGAAGGGGAGGAGGAGCCAGGCACCAGATCCTGCTCTGGGAAGATAAGTGAGTCAGGGCTGCCTGTGTGTTGGGCTGGCTGAGTGAGTGTTTGGTGAGCTGTTAGGGCTGTGTGAAACACAGAGGCAGCCTGAACAGGGTGCGGGGCCCGGGGCGAATCAGCCCATGTCGTGCTTCACCCCCGCTCCCATTCCATGGGCCCTGGACTCAAAGAAGCTGCTGCCCCTGTTTGGCAGTGGTGTTGGTGGCAAGGGGAAGAGGGGAGAACCTTACAAACCTCATTACCAGAAGCCAACTTCCTACAGCCCAAAACACACTGAATGGATCCAGGCCACGCCATGACAAGACATGCAAAACCTGCCAACAATATCTCCAGTATGGAGATATCTTCACAATACAATACATGCCCTGAACGAAAACACGTAGGAAACACCAATCAACAACTATGCACCATAATGAGCACACATCAGAAATCTATCAAAGACAAGAACAAAACACTACCTGTCTCCAATCTCTCAGGCCTGATGTTCAAAGGGAATTTACAAACCACTTTTTTCACAGACGAGCCTATGAACAGCACTTCATCAGCCTCCTAGGTACAGAAACTCATGGACTACATATAGACAGTGGCATTCTGACACATTGCAACCTGCCGGACATCTGACTCCCCAGGCACCTCTCCACTTTTACCTGAACTGTTACATCCCTCTTCACCCCTCCTCCCCACCCCAGCCCCAGCCCCAGCCCCAGCCCCAGCCTGTCCTTCAGCCCTTGATGCCTCCATTTCCATTTTCACTGACTGGCTTTCTTGCCTGCATTGCATGCCAGCCTCTGGCTTCCTGTACTATTCCTTCCAACAGCAGACACACCAACTACAGATGGTTTTGCAGCCTGACAAAGGTTGAGCATCCCAGGCAGCTAAGCTGATCTAGCCTGGAGTCTCACAACTCCCCTGCAACAGCAAGCCTCAGGCCTGTCAAAGACATGACAGGTCTGGGCTTTCCCCAGCCAGGACTGTGCATGCATGTGTTCCCTGGAGGTTATGGCACCTCCTATCTGCCTTTCACCACGGACATCCTTGGTCCTGGCATTTCCTGGGGCTGCTTCACCACTGGCAATCCCACCAGGCCTCCTGACCCTAGAAAGGTGCAGCTTTAGTGGTCATACCCAGGACCTGGGGCCTCCTGCCCCCATAGCCCCAGTCCATACCTCCAAGTTCATCCTGGCACGGGAGCTCAGCAGGGGCATGTTATTTCCCTGCTGGCTGGTGATGCAGTGAGTGCTGCCTCCAGCTCTGGTTTTAAAAAAATGAAAAAAGGAAGCAGGTGTGGATGGAGTGAGGAGGGTGGCACTCACTCCATCTGCACCTGGAGCTTGGGGAATCCCAGTATCAGGAGGTTCACCTTGAGGAACATCAGCTGCTCCACCAAGCAGGTGCGGTGGGGTGTCACTGCATCCCCAACGATGCTGCACACCCTCTCACTCGGAACACTGGTCAGTGAATAGGACAGTTGTTCCCAGGCAACCATGGCCAGATCTGACCACATCTGGCTCTGGTTTGCCCAGTAGGTGAAGGGGTCACACAGCAGTGGCTCCACATTCTTAGTGAGATAGGAAGCCACCAAGGCCTGAGCACTACCTGCATGATGATGGGGTCTGGTGCCTCTGAACCAAACCATGGAAGCCATGCTTTTGGCCCACATTGACAGCCAATCCAGGGTTTGGCTGCTGCATATGCTCCCCTTTGCCATTGGATCACACATGGCAGCCAGCACGTGGACTGTGCATAAATCAGATTAGATTATATCCTGCAAGGGATCAAGCTGCTTCCCGATTCCCTCCTTCACCTCCCTCACCAGTGCCTACACATCTGATAACAGCAGCTTGCCCCAGCCAGGAACATTGATGCCCTGGAACTTCTCCATTGGGTTCTCAAGTTCCCTCACTACAGGGATCACCTGGCTAATGAGGGCCTCACCAGCACTGAGGGTCTCGGTGGCCTCGAGGAAGGACTTCAGGACCACCAGAACCTCGGAGATGGTACCTTGCTCAGCTCTGTTAAGGGGGCCACTGACCCCAATCTACATGAGCAAGGCCATCTCATGGATGACCTTCTGCTGTTTCACCAGCCTCTTGAGCATTAGGTATGTGGAGTTCCACTGAGTCTCCACATGCTGCATGATTCTGTAATGTGGGATGTTCAGTTCTGCTTGTTTGGCCCACAACATCGTGCCCAACTTGATGCTCCGGTGGAAGTAGTCTGCCACCTTCCTGAATTTGGAAATAAGCTTGCTGGTGGTGCTGGCACCATCACTGGCAGCCCTATCCCTCTCCAAGGTGTCCCTGACAATGAGGTGGAATTTGTGTGCCACACAGCGGATGCCAACAAAATTGGCATCATGGACCGCCTTGAGCATATTGGCCCTATTGTTGGTGGCCATGAACCTGTGGATGAGCCACCCCTGCACCAAGAGGTTCATGGCCCTCATGATCTCTATTGCCATGTGGGACTCATCCATCACCTCAACTTGATGGATAGCCCACTGACAGCTTGCCTAGACACACTAGTGCCCTGTGAGGGAGAGGAAGACGTGGTCTCCATCCTGACTGCTCCAGACATCTGAGGTGAAGTGTAAGGCCACCTGCAGATGTACCTTGTGCACCTCCTCCCTAAAGTACTCCCTGCATGCCTCATACAGGGAGGGCACCACCGTTAAGTGGTGTGTGTGGGCACTTGGTATGATGGGCCATGAGCGCCATGAGTTTCCTGAACCTTGGCCACTCAACTAAGGAGAAGAGCTGGCCATCCACAGAAAGCATCTCCCCAATGCTCTGGGTGATCTCGCTTGCCTTTGCAATGTGTCCCGCCTTTCTTTCTGCCCTTCCCCCACTGTTCCAGAGTGGCTTGCTTCTGCCTGGAGCGGGGGCTTTGGAGCAAGAAGGAGACTTCTTTTTGGGCATGCTCCTGCTGGTACAAGGCTGAGGAGGAGCAAGGGCAAGGGGGTGGTGCCTGCAGAGATGTATAAACATCCCCGTGCTGCTTATGTGTTTTGCTCCCTTGCCTTAGCTGGTTTTTACTCAGCAGTTTTGGCTCACTTCTGGGGTGTGGGTGCATGTGCGGATGCTGCAATTTCCCCCTCCTCAGCAGGCAGAGGCACAGCAAGATGAGGAGTGGACTCAGCTGAGTCGCTTGCCTCCACACCCTCTACCGCAACCTCCTGTGAAGTGCCTTCTGGGGAAGGAGACCTGGCTGCAGGGCAACGTTGAGGGGTGTGGAGCACAAACTCAAAGGATTCCCCCTCCTTCTCCAGAATTTCCCTTGCTATGGCACTCAGATCCAGATGCAGCTCCAGCTCATCCTCTGGCACTGGAAGGCTTAGCATAGGAAGTGAATTGGGGGTGGAGGAGAGTGTCATCTGGTGCTGGTGAGGAGTTATGGCTGGTGCTCCTGGAGGGAATGCAGACTCAGGCACAGGCAGTAGCACTGTTCCCCTCTCATTGCTGCCTGTAGAACTGGAAGCCTCATGCCTGCTTGTTGTAGCAGGCATGAGGCTGCATCTCAAGGGGAGGAGTGTTGTGGAGGGGAACTTACACATCTCCTTCTACCCACTCTTCTGCCCCTCCCAGAAGGCTTGCCAGCTGCCTTTCCAGCACTCTTCATGGTGTGTTTCACAGTGTCTTTGCCTTGGTGTGCTGGAAAATGTGTTTTTTTTCCTCTAATCTAATCTAATCTAATCTAATCTAATCTAATCTAATCTAATCTAATCTGATTTATGTAACATATGTAGATAAGATAATTGTATGTATGTGTATTTATGTAATGTATGCATGTATTTATGTAATAAATAAAATATATAAATGTACGTAGTATGTGTTCCTGAATAAATTCTATATTATAATGTGCAATAGATACTGTGCTTGCCTGCAAAGGAATGGAATGCACACTGAGAGAAAGCTCAGATTTCTTTTCTGGGGGAAAAGATTCAAAATAGCCTAACAAAAACAAAAAGAGGATTTTGGGGGAGGAATAAACTGAAAGGAATGAATGAATATAATATTAAAATAAAAGGGTATAGAAAGCAAAAGGTATTGATAAATCCCACTTGCTAGCAAGAAGCTAGAAAGTAAGAAATAAATGGTAGATTTTGTTGTCTGATGATGCTGAGCTGCTGGAAGACACAGCTCAGTAACCATCAGACCTCAAGGCAGAAAGCAGCTCAGTTCAAACAATGTTGCCTTTTATGCTGCTTCTCCATCCCTCCCCCAAAGCACTTGAATTGGAAGGAACCTCAGGGAATGATCACAGTCACTGGTCAGCTACACAGTCAATATGAGAGCCGTCCTTCCCCCCTCCTCCCCCTCCCTCTCCTTACTTTGTGTTTCTCTGCAGGCAAGCCCAGCTTCAGCTTCAAAACTCTAAATGTTTCAAAACTTTTGAAATGTTTTGACTGCCCTTGTTTCATTTTGAGGCTGTTTCAAAGCCTTTTGTTTTTTCACAGTTCTGCTGTTTTGAGCTTGAAATGAGTTGAAACAGTGTTGAAATGAAACAGCTGGCAAAATTATGTGTGTTAGGGGCATTTTCTCTGAGCAACTGAGAGTGCTGCTAGCTGAGTGTTTGCTGGGTGATTGCTTGTTAGGGTTTCTCTGAGCAACTGAGAGTGCTGCTAGCTGGGTGATTGCTTGTTAGGAGAAATGCCCTAATGAGGGGGTGGAGTCAGGCCCAGCAGGGTATAAGGGAGATTCCCAGAGAAAATAGCCCAGTTTGCAAGTCAGTTCACAGGTCAGTTTGCTGCAGCACTCTATGAAGGGGAGACTTTAAGGTAAGCTGTTTCTTTCATTAAGAGTACCTAACCTACCTATATTTAGTGTAAGTAGGTAAAACAGGAGCTAGACCTTCACTTAAGCCCCTTGCTTAACTAGAGTCCCAAAGGGAGTTTGCTATGGGGTTGCCTGGAAACTCTCTCTTCCTTCACCGTAAGCTTGGTGAGAGGAAGCAGGGAAAAGGGAAACTTCCAGGACCAAGGAGCACTGAACAGGACAGCTTACAGGGGAGTTTCCTAGGGAAGGTCTACTTGGAGAGAGGGGCATGTGGAGACTGCAGCTTCCAGGTTCCTTCTAGTGACAGTCAGGTGGGGGAGTGCCTGTGATGTGCGTGGTGCCTTCTGGTGGTGTCCCTCAGCCAGGAGGCAAGAGAGATACAGGAGGAGGTGGTAAGGCTCTGAAGCATCCTCTGCCATGAGGACTTCATTGATTCAATGCTGGAGGAGACCCCTAGGACTGTGGAAGAAGGACTGCCAGAGGCAGCTTCAGAGAAGAAAAAGGATGTGGACTCCCAGGAAGGTGGAAAGTGGAAGCTTGTAACCTCTGGCAGCAAGTAGAAGTCCTAATCTCCACTTGCAGTGGTTTGCCTGAAGAAAAGATATGAAGCCTTAGAGACTGGGGAGGAAGAGCACATTTCACTGGTGGAGAAGGCTGGGCCAGACATCTCCCAAGTTGGAAGGATTGAGACCACTGCCACCAAGAGGAAGTGACTGTTAATGGTGGTTGGAGACTCCCTTCTGCGGGCCTGACCTGCTGTCTCAAGAAAACTGCTGCTTTCCTAGAGCCCAGAGCTGAGATTTCACAGGGGAATTTCCAAGACATAGAATTGAAAATGAGGGTTGGAAGGGACCTCAGGAGGTCACATCTAGTCTAACACCTGCTCCAAGCAGGACCAGCCCCAACTACATCATCCCAGCCAGGGCTTTGTCATGCTAGGTCTTAAAAACCTCCAAGGATGGAGATTCCACAACCTCTCTGGATAACCTGCTCCAGTGCTTTACCACCCTCCTCATGAGAAAGTTGTTCTTAATATCCAACTTCAACTTCTCTTGCTGCAGCTTCAGCCCATTGCTCCTTGTTCTGTCATTTGCCAACACTGAGAACAGTTCAGCTCCATCCTCTTAGTAACCACCCTTCACGTAGTTCATCTGGCCCTCTGACTACTATCCCATGCTGCTCTTCAATGTGGGCACCACTGCTGCTGCCAGGGGTGACCCTGAGCAGATCAAAGTGACTACAGGGCTCTGGGTGCAAGGATGCGGGGCACAGGGGCTCAGGTGGTATTCTCATTGATCCTTCTGGTTGAGGGGCAGGGCCTAGGCATGTCAGCCAAGGAACAGAACAGAGTTCTGGCAGCTGCTGGAAACAGCTAAGGACAACCGCTGGCTGAAATGATTTGAGTTTCTGGGTGGAAGAAGGAGAGCAGAAAAGCTGGTTACAATCCAAATGTACTCAGCTCAGATAAAGCAAGAGGACCTGACTTTCTGGCTGAATAGATATTGTGAAAAATTAGGGGAAATGGAATGAATTTAAGATCTGAATGGGGACTGGAGAACTAAGGTAACACTGAAAAGTGGACTTGGGATTCTAGGTGGGGTACAACACCTCCCCCCCACCTTCACCCTTGGCCCCCATGGGGGCAATGTCTACCACCTGGGACAGCCCAAGCTCTGCGACAAGTGTGGAGAGCAGGGCCATCTCATTGCACTGTCCATGACCAAGCTCTGTGTGATGTGCAAGGAATCTGGCCACGGGGCTCAGGACAGCAAGCAGGACTATTGCTGCTACTTATGTGGAGAGAAGGGGCATGTCTTAAAAGAGTGCACCCAAACATATGCAAACAAAGCCAGGAGAAGCAAGAAAGGAGGGGTGGATGCTGCAAAGAATGCCAAGACCAGCAGGTTCTCTACTTTCTGGACGTAGGGCCCCGGCTGTGCATTAAGGGTGCATTGTGCTTCTCAAGAAATTTGGAGGGCTATTAGTAGTCTGTACATACAGAAAGTAGAAAAGCTGCTGGTCTTGGCCACTCAATGTACCATTCTGTTCAGTAGCTGTCGACACACACAATGGGTGACCAGTTATAAACAGACGTGTCAAAAACTGGCTTTTCAGCTCAGGCAATAGGTGCCCCTGCTCTCAGATGTGGAGGTCCCACATTCGGTCATTGCTTAAAGCTCTGCTGTGCTTCTGGGTCAAAGCTACATACAGGAACAGTTGTTCATTCTGGAGCTTGGAAACCACTTGGAAGACCAGCACTGAAGTTTTCTCTATCAAAACATGAGGTCTGGGTGAGATACAGGAGGGGTTAGGTACAATTTTAGTATGGATTGCATGAATCTATCCCTTGCACCTTAGGAGGGAACAATCCCATGCACCAGGACAGGCTGGGGGTGACTTTCTGGGAAGCAGCTGTGCAGAAAAGGACCTGGAAGTGACAGTGGACAATAAGCTGAACAGGAGCCAGCAGTGTGCCCTTTTTGCCAAGAAGGCTAACGGCATCCTGAGCTGCATTGGTAGGAGTGCTGCCAGCAGATAGAGGGGAGTAATTCTTCCCCTCTGTTCAGCACTGGGGAGGCCACATCTGGAGCCCTGTGTTCACTTTTGTTCCATCCCCCCTCTATAAAAACAATATGGACAGGTTGGGAGAGAGTCGAGCAGAGGGCAATGAAATCCTTTGGGAACTGGGGACATAATTTGTGAAGACAAGCTGTGGGAACTGGGCTCATTTAGTCTGGAGAAGCTGAGGAGGGATTTAATAACAGCCTTCAACTCCCTGCATGGGGGTTTCAAAGAGGTTGGATCTGGACTGTTCTCAGTGGTGGAAGATGACAGAACAAGAAGCAAGGGTCTCCAGTTTCAGCAAGGGAACTGACTTCCTGCCCTTTGGGCAGGGGGCTGGACTCGATGATCTTCCGAGGTCCCTTCCAGCCCTGATGTCTATGAAATCTATGAAATCTAAAACACTGGTACAGGTTACCCAGAGAGATGTTGGACTTTCCATCCTTGGGGGTTTTGAAGACCTAGCTCGACAAAGTTTTGGCTGGGATGATGCAGTTGGGGCTGGTTCTACTTTGAGCAGGGAGTTGGACTAGATGTGATCTCCTGTGTTCCCTTCCAACCCTAACTTTCTATGATTCTGACCCTAACTTCCTATGATTTTATCATTCTGAATCTCACCTTCTATTTCTATGGAGGGTGGATCATATGTGACATCAGCCTGGGCCTGAGAGCCTCTGTGCTCATGGCAAGCCAGTCTGCCCTGATAGAGACCCATGAGAGCAACTTTCAATTTCAAAGTAAGGCAGGTGCAGAAAGGGGCTCTAAAATGCTTAGGAAAATGGATAGCCCATGAGATGAAATGAGATTGGAGGAGCTGGACTTATCGAGCCTGGAAAAGTAAAGGCTGAGAGGAATCTGACTGCTGATAGTAAATGCATCAGGGGAGACTAGCACCAGGGAGGCAGGAGACTTAGTGGAGCTACAAGCAATGATGGCACAAGAGCAAGTGTGGGTGAACTGGCCAACAATAAACTTAGGCTGGAAAATGTGAGGCTCTTAATCACCAGAACAGTTGAGGATCTAGAACAGAGTCCCAGTCAGCTGAGTGGGGCAAGGCTCTTCGCTGTTTCAGGTGGATTCCTGTCAGCTTCCAGCCCAGAGGACTGGACTTGATGGCCCCAGTTGCCCCTGCTGCCCTTGTGTTTGAATATATAGTCTAAAGACAAGGAGATGTAACAAGAATCCGTGATGGCATCTAATGGCCACTTACCATATCAATGCACCAGAGCTGTCCACACTTGCAACCTGCATGTGAAAAAGAAATTAGATTACCCGGTCACCAACAGAGAAGTGGTGAAAGTATGTGGGCAACTCTGCTGGGGTTTTCAGGGTGGCCCCATCAACACCACCTGAAGGGGCAGTTTGTGGGTGTACCTCTTCCTCTCCATAAAATAAATAACATCATGGAATGAATCCTTAGTAACTGGACACTTGGTCCAACTGAAGTGTGACTGGTGCAGGGATCTGCCTCACTCCTGTGTGTCACACAGCGTATTCCCAAACACACCTCTACTATGGTGCTCATGGAGGTCTTGGGAGGAGGGAGGTTGCAAAGGGGCCTCTTTTGGGAATACATCTGTAGGGATAAGGGAAATGGAAGGTCTTCAAGTAAGCACCCCTCATGTTATGAGAATGGCGTGCTTGCCAGCACCCAAGAAACACTAGTGAATTATTTCCCTGACACTTACTCCATATCCTCTTTATGTTATCCATTTTCCAGTTCTTCATATCAGAGAAGCGGTCATCTGGCATGGTGGGAAGATATGTGTCCTTGCAAAAAACAAACAAACAACCAAAAACCAGTGTTACACCTCTACCATAGCAGTTAGGGTGCATGGTTATTGCTCAGGACAGGAGTAGGTCACTGTGTCTGTGCTGGAACTGATCCAGGACTGATCCAGGTTGTCTCCTGCTCCTGTCCTGAGCAAAAATGGACAGTGTAGACTCACAGTGGAGGGAGAGGAATGGGACACCATCACGTGTAAAGGTGACCAGACCTACCGTGATATATCCCTGCCCCAGGGAACGTCCAGAATATGCAGACAAGAAATGGGAGCAGAAACCAGGGGACAAGAAAGGTTCAGTCACTTGCCCAAAGTAATAGAAACAGTATGTGGCAGAGCTGGCAGTAGAACCTAGCTCAGCCCAAGGTTCATCAAGTGCCAAATGAAAGCAAAGTTGCCTTTCTGAGTACATAACAGCATGATAGCAGGTGATTAAGAAGCAAAACTAGCCTGTAACACTGCACCAAGGAGCTTTCATCAGGGCCAATCTCATTATTCTTTTAAATACTAGACACTAGGGCTGTGTGAAATTTCACTGGCTGATTCAACTCAACACTGGTTTGACTCATTCCAAGCTTGAAACAGTGACATTGAATCAAAATGAAGGGCTTCAAACAGCCTCAAAACAAAATGAGGCTAGTTGAAATGTTTTGAAAGTTCTGAAACGTTTTGAAGCAGCCAGCAGCGAGGTGGTGAGAGACAGGGGAGAACCAGGGCTCTGCTCCCAGCAGCAGCTGGGAGTGCAGCCCAGGCTCTCCCCATCTCCTGCCGCCAGGCTGCAGGAGGCCGATAACAGTGCAAGGAAAGGGAACAGGCTACCAACCCTGCAAGTTTAATCTGAATCAGCCAAAAAACAACAAAGTTATAGCTATTTCATTGAATCCCCATTATACCCTATGGCCGAATCTGCGAATCGCTGAAACTTTTCTGAATAGATTCAGAAGCTCCGAATCGACTGAGACAGCCTAAAGCTTCTAGCGATTGGATTCAGATTTGTAGATTCAGCCTCTGAATCTCTCGAATTATCTTTGAATCTGAATTGCAATTCGAAGCTTTGCACAGCCCTAGTAACTGGGTGGCATTCCCCCAGTTTGAGTGATGCAGGACATTAAACTAGATAGCTACAATGTTTGGTTCCTGCCTTAAAATCTATGAATAATATTTTCATGTAGATTCCGCAGAATAAGGGATACTGGGCACATCTACACAAGACATTTAATGCACAGTAGACTAATTCTACTGCACGTTAGCACACCATGGCAAAAGCTGTTCTAAAGTACCTCATATTACAGGTACTAACCTTAATGTGCAGTAGCAAAGGTGCATTAATGCATGTATAGCTGCAATGTGCATACAGATGCACCCCCTGATGGCCTTGGGATTGTCCTTTTCAAGGTGGAAGTGGGGAAAAATATGAACAGTGGTTTTACAGTCTAGAAATTTAAAAAATCCCAAGTCTCTGACTTACAGTTATGGAAAGAAAACACATAGTCAAAAAGGGAAGACAAGGGTGATGAGAAGTGGTGGGATTATTTAAAGTCTATGGTAGAATCCACGTGCACATCCACAAGTGCCAAGGCTTTAAAAAGCTGCTCTAATTTGTCTTGGGGACCAGAATGCTTCCTGAGTGTGGCTAGGATTGGGGCCAAGGGTACATATGATGGGTAGAGCTTGAATATCACAAAGCTCCTGGTGTTGATGGCTATTTATAAATCTTGAAATTTTCAAGTCCAGTTTGTGATTTACCTTAACTGTACTTGGCTCAAAGCAGATGGATCTGAAGACTTGGGTGATGGGCCTCTGGGACAGGCTTAGTATGACAGTAGTGTGGAACACCACCTCCAGATAGGTAGAGTTGCCATGACTTCTTATAGCATTCATGATCTTTTCCAGCCTTTCCATGGGATCCTCTGAGAGCAATGGTGCCTCTAGGATGCTCTCCATTTGTTTCATGACAGACTGAAAGATAATTGAATGAAATATATGCAGCCACTTGGGGACATTTAAGCTGAGAAGGAACTAGAATAACAGAATCATGGAAAAGTAGGGTTGGGAAGAACCTGAGGAATTCACATCTAATCCAAACCCCTGCTCCAGGCAGGATCATTCCCAAGTCAAGTATCTGTCTAACTTGCTTTTACCCAGTTCCAAGGAGGGAGATTCCACAACCACTTCAGGTATCTGTTCCAATACTGAACCATCGTCAAAGTGTAAAAGTTCTTCCTAGTAGCCAAACTAAATCTCCCTTGCTGCCATTTAAGACCTCTTCTCCTTGTCCTATCCCCTGGGGCCACACAGAAATGTCTATCATCATGATCTGTATAACTACATAAAATCTCACCTCAGTCTTTTCTTCTCCAGGCTAAATAATCCCAGGGATTTTAGTCTTTCCTCATCAGTCATGTTTCCCAGGCCTCTTATCATTTTTGCTCCTCTCTGTTGGACTCTATCTAATTTGTCCAAACATTTCTGGACTCATTTTTCTAGGGGAAACCTCACTAGTGCTGAATAGAGCAGATGAATCACTTCTTTTGACTCTCAAGCAACAATTTAGTTAATACAGCCAAGTATTCTACTGGCTTTCATTGCAACAAGTCTTCCCTTACACACAGTTTACAGTCGACTCTGACACCCATGTCATTTTATATCTAACTAGTCATTCTCCAGTCTGTATTTGTGCATGATATTATACTGTCACAAATGCAAGACTGTGAACTTGTCCTCACAAAAACTCATTCAATTTATTTTGGATCAGTATCCAGTTTATTAGACTCATTCCAATTCCGAATCCTACCCTTCAGCACCATCCATCTTGTGGTCATCTGCAAATTTGCTAAGTACATATTCAAGCCCATCCTCTAAATCATGAATGAAGATATTATGAAGTACCAGATTCAGGACAGACCTCTGGAAAGCCTCACTTGATACCTCCTCCCAACCACTAAATGACATTGATGACTACTCTTTGGAGCATGATGATCCAACCATGTACATATCAATCTTAGAGTAATTTCAGGTAGTCTCCATTTCCTTAGCTTGCTAATCGGAATATTGTAGGAGACCATGTAAAAAGCTTTGCTAAAGTCAAGGCATCACATCCACTGCTCCCCTCATCCACCTTGTCATTAGAAGAAAATCAAATTGTTCAGGCATGACTTATTGTGGAGGAATCCATGTTCCTGATCACCTTCTTTTCCTCCAGGTACTAAGAAACAGACCTACTCCATGTTCTTTCCTGGCTTTGAGCTCAGGCTGAATGTTCTCTAACTTCCCAGATCATTCTTTTTTTTCCTTTTCTTAAAGGTAGACACTATATTTGTCCTTTTCCAGTCATTTGGGATCTTACCCAACCACCAAGAGTTCTCAAAGACGATGGCTAATAGCTTAGAAATAACCTCAATTGTTTCAGTACTCTAGGGTGTGTCCCATCTGGCCATGCTGATCTGAAAACATCTAACTTCTCTAAGTAATCCCCAACCTGTTCTTCCACTACACTAGGTTGTTTCTTTCTTTCCCTGTCCTTGTTACCATCTGTGTTTGTCATCTGGTAGCTGATTTTATTTTTGAAGAATGCTGCAGACTTCTCAGCACCATCCATAATTAAATTACCTCTGCATTTAGGAAGGGACCTGCACTTCCCTTTGTCTTCCTCAGATCCCTAGTCCTTGACATATCTCATGATTCTGGTGTAAATCATCCTGTGCAGAGGAGCTAGCAAAGAAATGAGACTCTGACTAAAACCATTCTCATCCTATGGGTCAAATCCTTGTCTCATGTACATCATAACAAGGAGATCTCTCTGCTGGGTTCAGCTGATGCATCACAAACCAAATTGAGACATTTTACATTGAATCTAAAACCAGTACTCACAGTCAGATGCTTGGCTGCTTCTGATTTTGCATTATTAAGATGGTGTTTTGCTCTGCCTAGTGCTGAAATCATCAGGACTTCATTGGACCTGACGTCCATGCACTAAGGGAATTAATGTTTTAATCAGAAGGTGGTTATGTCCATAGCAGGAGCATTAAGATCATTACACACCAAAAGGTCAGTAACCATGTCCAATTACACTGGAAGGACAATGCACATGCTTTTCTTTGACATAAAGATGATGCACTCTTAGTTACTAATTGATCATTTTATCACTTGCATTATGTTACAGCCAAATCCCACTTCATTTTTATGAGGACCTTGTTACACGATAATTTTAGGTGGCTTCTGGAGCTCTGGAAAGGTAGCCTGTTAACACCTCTTACATGGCTTAAAGCACTTGTTATTCCTTTTAAAGTTATGCCACTCCAGAGCAGGATTATCTCTAATCCGTCTAATTTTGCTACTGTTTCTTTAAGGCGTGGCCCTTCTCAACAGCTCTTCCACCAAAGTTGAAGTCTTCCAGCATCCCAGGATGCAGTGGCCCCTCCTGAGTCAAGGCAAGTGAGGATGCCAGTGCACAGCAAGGTCAGGCACAGTACCTCACTCCCTGGGCACTTTGGGCAGAGTAAGCACCACAGCCCCAGAGCGTGCAGTAGCCATGGTGATGTGCCTCCTGCCCGGCAAGACTATAGCCAGTCTGAACAGCAGTGTGAGGCACCAGAATTCAGCCACCAGATGCTCTGGGGATGCAGCAGTTGCTCTGCCTGGTGGGAGCAGCGAGTTGGTCCTTCCCCTAGCTCCTAGTCCTGCCCCTGCTCACCAAGCTCCTCGTGGGAAGTCACAGCCGTGCAGGGGAAGGACAGTCAGAGCAGGATTTACACCTTACGGTGTAACTGCTCCGCTAAGATGAACAACATTAAACCAATTACCATTAGTTGCAGCTTTCAGTGTAAGATGTGACAAGGCCCTTAGACCAAGTTTTACTTATCTGCCCACATGCAGCAATGTAAGTGCCATCTGTGGCACTTCTGCAAGTTTTATTTCTAATTTACCTCTGCACAGCTACACTCATCCTTCTGAGCATGCTCAGAAAGCTCCACTCTGGCTAAAAGAGGATTGCTTGGGTAGGAACAGAATTTAGGGCAACATACCACCTTAGAGACTAACTGGTTCAGAGAGGCATGGATTTTCAAAGGCAACAACCTCCTTTGTTAGACATTACCTATGGACATGAGCATAGGAGGAGATTAACTGCACCTAAGTCTCTGGAACACCATAACCAGTGACTGGGAAAATGAGAACCCTCTCCTCCTTTAGCCCAGTTGCTGGGGCTTAAGTCACTTGGCTAGGGAATAGGAGGCTTGGATTTGAGGATTTATTCACCCAAAGTGCATTATGAACCTGCACCTCCCATCTCCTGACAAAGGGCACATCTACATGTGCAATTAATGTGACTGAATATACTGTGGCTCAATTTGAGCCAGACTAAACTAATCCAGATGTTACTATCTGTATGTTTTTTTAAGCACACTAATTTACTCTGCCATCAGATAGTACTTGGTTCTGACAGGACTATCCTATGCCGAAGTAAATTAGTCTGTGCTGGCCTAATTGCTGCACACATGCAGACCATGATGCTTTACTGCATAGTAAATTAGTTTACTGCACACTAAACACCTTGTGTAATCATGCCCAAAGTGTCCTAGCCACCACATCTTGGGCTAGGCATTGCCTCCTGGCAGACTCGTCCTGATGCTGTCCCATTGTGCAGCCAGGAGAGGTAGATGTGTGGTGTCAGGAACAGTGCAAAGTGGTGGGAGTCTGGTTAAATGAGATGGACAGTTCCCTTCTCCTACCACCCTCTACTGTTTTCC